CCACCAGTTGCTTCCAAGTGGCAATCAAACGGTGATTCAAACGGAAGAGTGTTTTCCCAGCACTGATGAAACCTAGCAATTTGTTTCTGTTTGTAATCTTGGAAAGAATGCCAGCTTCTTATGTGGCCTGTAGATGAGATGAAAGAAACCTGTCCTGAATGTTTGCACCTTTGTATGAAAGAGCCATTGCTTTAATAAGAACTACACCCTGACTTTGAGGTGCAATGCACCATTGGTCTATCCAATTTTTTTATTTACTTACTTTATTCATAACTTGCTTTTCTCTCCAACGGGAGCCCAAAGTGGCTTGCATTGATCTTCTCTCCTCTGTTTTATCCTCACAGATAGTTTAGCATCTGACTAGCCCAAGATCACCCAGCATGGTTTCATGGCAGAGTGGAGATTCAAACCTGGGTCTTCCAGATCTTAGTCTGACACTGTAACCCCTAAACTACCCAAAACAGAGATTATTACTAATAGGTTATTTAAGAACATAAGAAGAGCTCTGCTGGATCAGACCAGTAGTCCATCTAGTCCAGCACCCTGTCTCAAATATTGACCAACCAGTTCCTCTGGAGGTCTAACAACAGGGGCGTAGAAGCCAAAGCCTTCCTTTAATGTTCCCTCCTGGCTCTGGGATTCAGAAATTTTGTGCCTCTGAATATGGAAGTCCCCTTTAGTCACCATGGCTGGTAGCCACTGATGGACCTATCCTCCATGAATCTGTCTAATCCCCCTTTTAAAGGAGGTATTTTTTCTAGAGGAAAGAAAAACTAGAAAACTCTTTCTTGAGATACTTTTTAAAAGGCACTTTCTAGCCTTGCAGTTTTCTTATCCCTAGGTCCAAAGTTTTTTTGGGAGGCATTGGCTTTTACTGCCACCAAGTGGCTTCAGTCCTTTCTCTTCCTCACAAACACATCTCCGAGGGTCTCATATGCTTTGAGAACAGCAATCTGACACCATCCATATACAAGAAAAGCAGATAGTTTGAGAGTTGTTGGTAAATGTCTAGGATCATCTCTCTTTTTTTAAACCCAGTCTTTCTCATCCCGGATGCTCTAAATTCATGTTTTGTCACGTGATTAAATATCATAGCATCTTCTACAAATGCTTATAATGAAAATTCCGTAATTATAATGGAAAATTCCATAAGAACTATGGACTGGTATAAAAAGATACAGATAATGGGAAATGGGTAAGCTTTAATCTTTGTAAGAAATTGATTTTTTAAATGCATGATTGGAATATATTTTTGGATCTATATAGCCTTATATACATTTTCCTCATATACATATGTATATACGCACACACAAGTGGGGGAGCCTGAAAGACCCCCCCCCCCACATTGCCAGACTTAGTGTCTTGAGGTTTTGCCAACTACCTTTGACCCCAAGTGCAGTGGTGCTGGTGTCTGGGAGCTGCTCCAAGTCCTCCACTACCATGGCCGGCATGGAGCAGTGCCCAGAGTTCAAATGGCAGGGGCAACCAAAGTGTGACCTCCAAAGCTGACAGGAGTGCATGGGTAGGTTAATAAGGGAGGAGGCAGTTCTTAAGGTATGTTGGTCCCAGACGGTACAGGGCTTTAAAGGTCTAAATCAGCATTTTGAATTGAGCCTGGAAACAAATTGGAAGCCAGTGTAGCGGGAATAAGACTGGAGTGATATGGTCCCTATGACCCATTCCAGCCAATATTCTGGCCCCAGCATTCTGTATTATCTGTAGCTTCTGGACAGTCTTCAAGGGCAGCCCCACATACAGGACATTTCAGTAATCTATTCTACCTGTTACCAGGGCAGGCACCACAGTGGCAAGATCTTTTCTTTAAAGATGAACACAGTTTTATTCCAGCATAGACTTTGGTTTACTAGAGCCTACTTCTTCAGATTCAATCACCAGATCTTCACTAGGCAGTCACAGAAATCCACTTCTGGCCAGAGGATTTTTCAAATGCTTCAAGGATTTAAAGAGAAATATTCTGCACAAACATGGCTTCTCTGCAAAAGTATAGGATTAAGGAATGGATGGTTGCCTTATCCGTCTACAGGGAGCCTGTAGCCTCGACACAGTGAACCTCAGTAGTTTCTGTTTCAAATGGAGAATCTGAAAGAAACTCCTCAGAGAACACCTGAAGAACAGCTCCCCCAATGGGATTAGATTTCTTGCCCAAGCAGAGTCTGCTTGGAATGATCAAAGACTGAAACTAAATGCAAATTTCTCAAGAGCTCCTATTTCACTCCTTTGCTTGCAACATCAGTCTTTCCAGGGTTAAATGCCTCAGCTGGCAAGTGTTCATCATTATTCAACAGCAGTTTGATAAGCAAATAGATTTACAAACACCTCTGTGAGTAGCTGGACTGTTGATAGTTTTTGCTGGGAAGCCGTGTTAGTGGGGTGTAGCAGAGCAAAATTCTATTTCTGTAGCACCTTCAGGACCAACAAAAATTTCCAGGCTATAAACCTCTGTGAGTTACATCTCACTTCATCAGATACCAGGGAGATTCTCTGCCTGAATTGATATTATTGATAATAGCATCCCTTGGAAAGCTCTCAGAGGGTGTCAGACTTTAGCAGTAAGAACATAACATAAGAACATAAGAGATGCCAATGTTGGATCAGGCCAAAGGCCCATCCAGTCCAACACTCTGTATCACACAGTGGCCAGAAATACCAGGTGCCATCAGCAGGTCCACCAGTGGGGCCAGGACATTAGAAGCCCTCCCACTGTTGACTCCCCCCCCCCAAGCACCAAGATGACAGAGCATCACTTGCCCCAGAGTCCCTATCTATACCTTGTGGCTAATAGTCACTGATGGACCTCTGCTCCATATGCTTATCTAATTCCCTTTTGAAGCTGTCCATGCTTGTAGCCACCACCACTTCCTGTGGCAGTGAATTCCAAGTGTTAATCACTCTTTGGGTGAAGAAGTACTTCCTTTTATCCATTCTAACCCAACCGCTCAGCAGTTTCATGGAGTGCCCACGAGTTCTTATATTGTGAGAAAGGGAGAAAAGTACCTCTTTCTCTACCTGCTCTTTCCCATGCATAATCTTATAAACCTCAGTCATGTCACCCCTCAGTCGTTGTTTCTCTAAGTGAAAGAGCCCTAAGCGCCTTAACCTTTCCTCATAGGGAAAGTGTTCCAACCCTTTTATCATTCGAATTGCCCTTTTCTGCATTTTTCGAAAGCTATGATATCCTTTTTAAGGTGTGGTGACCAGAATTGCACACAGTATTCCAAATGAGGTCTCACCATTGATTTATATAGGGGCATTATGATATTGACTGATCTGTTTTCAATACCCTTCCTAATAATCCCCAGCATAGCATTGGCCTTCTTTATTGCAGTCACACACTGTCTCGACATTTTCAGTGAGTTGTCTACTACTTAGTAGCAGTCTGAGAACTCTGATTTTAAATTATGTCCTCCTTTGTCACTGGTTCCTGCCACATATTCATAAGGGTCTTTTCAATGGGCGCATGGCATTCTGGAGTATCCCACAGAGACCCCCACCCTCTTGGGTCTTCCAAACAATAGAGTGGGGACCATATCAGCTATATTTTAAAAAGGAAGTTTAAGAGAAAAGTTAAGTCAGATCTCAGAAGGCTGATTATAGAGGGCCCCAGCTCAGAAGGCCCTGATCACAGTTCTCAGCAACCCTGCCCTTTGACTGGAAGGCATTTTGTGCTGGAGATGGCAAGAAATGTCCTTGTTGGTTCACAACGTCTAGCTTAAAGGCCAATTGATCAGGGGTGGGACCTGCAAAATTTTTCAGAGTTGCTCCTTGAATAGAAAAAGACAGTTCCCTGCCTCGCTATTCTTCACATTAAAGAAGGTTTTTGATGACATCCTGCCTGCTGTTTCTCTTTGGCCTTGGGGCAGACCATTTACCCACCTCCACAGTGAAGTATTCACCAGATATACAATTTAGCAAGCAAGAATGGATAATTTTGTTTCAGGGATGGAAACAAAGCAAGATATAAATCTGTGGAGAGAAGCCTTCCCAGACTTGCTATCCCCAAATCTCCAGGAATTTCCCAAGCCAGAATTTGCAGCCCTAACTGAAAGTCGTCTTTTTATATCTGTGCTGAAATCTTTTGCATTTGGAAAATAGAGTGAAAAGCAGCTCAGTCTTGTATTGGAAGTATTCATTTAGTACATTTTTTATCTGGGAGCTAATGGCAGCAGCATCCAGGGTTTCCCCCTTTCTCCACTGTAGCCTTACAACAACTGTATGAGGCATGTTAGGTCAAGATGATGACTGGTCCATGATCGCCAAGTAAGTTTAGTAGCAAGTACAGATTGAAACCTAGGTCTCCCCAGTCCTTGTCCAACGTTACTGTTCCACACTTGCTATGATGACTGCAAGAGGACTGTATCTCTTTGCTGCCCCTGAACCAATTAGAATTCTTGGGGCTCAGCTGCTGGATTTTGGCAACCCAGTTTTCTGGTGAATCCTCCAAAGTGATCTTAAAACATAAAGGGAATCAGAAACTAAGACCAGAATCCTCTCTCCTAGGTACAGATCTAGCACTTTACCAATTGTATCATCTTAGTATTTCCCCCCAAATCTGATAACCCCCAGCTCAAGGTGGACTTGAATGGTGCTTTGACAGGTTCCATGGGCCACTTTAATCATCCAGCCAATTGAGTAGCCTGTGTGGAATGGGCTCAGGGTGCAGGATTTCTCTGTCTTGTTCCAAGAAGGTCTGGAAAGGTTGAGGCGTCAAACCAATAGTACTGGATAGCACGAAAAAACACTTTCAGCACCCCAGGTAATGGACAGCAGCTGCTGCCCAGCAAACAAATGCACACAAAGGCATTAGTATGGGGCCTAGGACCAAATTACACAGACCACTGTGCCCTGCTCAAAATCCTACCAAATAAATATCTACATGTAGCCTACCAGATTACACTGCATAAAAAACACCTTGTAAGTGAATCAGCAGATGTGCTTTGTAACTCTCTGGACATAAAGGGGAAACTTGAACAATGACTCACCCGTCATATCCTGTCGCAAAGACGCACCTATCTTATCTCTGGTGTACATGAGAATGAAATAAATAATAATGAAATAAATTAAGAATATGTGACACAATGGCCACAGACTTCATAATAGTTTTAATATAAAAGAGATGAACAGAGTTTAAGATTAATTTCTGAGATAGAATAGTGACAATCTTTGATGAACAGAGTTTAAGATGAATTTCTAAGACAGAATAGGACAGTCTTTAACCATGATTTGCACTATCTCTGAAAGCTTTGGAATTGGAAACTGTGGTAATTGACTAAAGAAAGTGCACTTGTTGATGAAATAATCATATGATCAGTATCAGTGGGCCTTCCTTTGATGTTTTCCAGTTAAAACCAGCATCAAAGCCCACTCTGCTTTCAAAATCCCAGTTGAATGAATTAAGGATGCTGGATCCCATATTTTTGGTTCATTGGGTTATCAGCGCCTTTGATCTTTTGTTAGGGAAAAGCCATTATTTTCTTTCTGGGGCTCCTGAAAGCCAGCTTTTTGCATAGGAGGAAAACAAGTCATTGGAACTTTGGTTCTCCTGCCCATAGTGGCATTAGGGCAATGCATTTTGGCTTCTTATTCTGTAAAATGGGTTTGTACTTCAGAAGATTCCTGTGATGATCAAAGCATAAGGATATCAATGGGAGTTATCAGTGACTTCAGAGGGACTCTTAATGTGTGAGTGATTTAATAAACAGTTAAACACCCACTTCTTTGAAGATGAAAGCCACTCAACAGAAGGGAGGTGTGACAGTTCCAATACTGTATGATTGCTTTATGGGGACAGATGCTCTCTATTGTTCTATTTATCAAAACTTTTAAAAACAAATCTATAGCAACATAGAGAATTCCAGAGAAGGTATTGTGTAGGCAACAGCACTGTCTTCTCAGAGATTACAGATTCACTATACAGAAAATGTAGGCTTCCAGAAGCAGATACCATGGCACAATTTGTTAGTGACTGAAATATTCCTGGTAATCTAATGAGCAGCATGAATAAATGAATCACTTTCATAAATTTGCTGGTTGACCTTGGCCTAAGCCACCTCACAGGGTTGTTGTGAGGATAAAACGGAGCAGACGAGAACAATGTAAGTCATTTTGGGGGCTCGTTAGGGAGAAAGGCTGGATATAAATAAAGTCGAAAAACTTTTGAAATATTAAATTTTAAATATACATTTTCTCACTGATGTGGCCATAAAATATGCACATTTTACATCCACATATATCAAATATTAACATATCCAAAATATTAAGCCGTTCACATTCAGTGAAGGCATACAGCATAACATGAATTTCTCCTTTTTAAAAAGAAACGTTCGGGCTTCATTGTTTGTGAAAGGTCTGGGAGAACATTGAATTCAATGCTTTCTACGTGCAGACACTTTTAGGGGGAACGGACATTGAGTTCCCACCTCAGTGAGCACCAGACCTCAATAAGGGGTGATATTCTGAGGAAGGGAGTAATGACTCCATTACCTAGCCATTTTCTTTTACTGCGTTCAATAGTTGACGTTGCCCCTTTAAGAAAAGAGAGAGGAGGGGTTGCGGGGAAAAGTGACAACATCTCGCGAGAACCCAAGACGTATCTCTCGCGAGAACTGTGTTTGGGCGGAAGATGGCGGCGGCGGGAGGTACAACTCCTGCTCCCGAAGAAGGGGGTGACGGGGAGACTACTCCACCGGAGGCTCCAGAGACAGCGGTCGGGGAAACCGCAGGGCCTCCTGAGCAGGGAACTGGAGACTCGGAGACTGGGTAAGGCTTGGACGTATGAACAAGAGAGGGAAAACGGCATCTGCGCTCCCATTGGCTCGGCACGGCCACACTCCCGCCGGTTGATCCTATTGGTCAGAATGCTCAAATCTGTTTCTCATTGGCCAGAACTCTGGAACCCGTATCTTATTGGCCAGAGTGCTGACCTGCTGGCCAACCGGATCTGCCTCTTTCGCCGCTCTATTCTCAGTCATTCTTTTGCGCTTTCTTCCCCTTCCAGCCTTATATCATTTTTCGATTTGTATAGAAATGTCTCATGCTGAACGTCTAGTTGCAATGCCTGGCCCAGCTGTTTCCTCTCTGTTTCTTCGTTTCATGATGGACTTTTGGTTCATAAATTTCTAGTCCATGAAATATTCTGCCACAGCAAATCAGTTATTTGCAAACATGCCACAACCACCACCACGGTCCATTCTTTGATACTTAAGGCGATGCTCTTAATTCACCTGAGCTTTGCACATAAGTGGTTGTTGGCCTACTGCATCCCATTGTAAGTTGTGGCCCTACTCTTTACAATTTATTTATTTGGATTTATACCCGTACTTCCTGCAAGCAGGCTCAGGGTTGGTCACAACAATAGATTACAATAAAAATGACAGTCTTCAGTAGTTCAGAATAAATAAATATCTAACATGACACCAGTAAAAAAAACAATTAAAAGTGTGCATTGCAACAGATTTCAGATTACAGTTCCTCGACACCAGTAAAAAATCAATTAAAAGTGTGCATTCCAACAGATTTCAGATTACAGTTCCTAAAGTTGGGAGCAAATGGGCCAGAGCAGAGCCATAGACATAAGCTGGGGGCAAATGGGCCAGAGCAGAGCCATAGACATCCCCAGAAATCTCTCAGCACCCTCCTATGTGTAGTGAAGATGCATTTCATGCAGAAATACATCATTAAGTGGCCTTTTGTCTGTGTGAGCGTCTGTAATAATTCTGTTGGTCTTTAAAATGGCATTAGACTCCCTTTTGTTTTCCTTCTACCCAGAAACGTTCCTCCTTGCACCCAGCACAACCTTCTTTTGCTCAGTCCTACCCAATATTCATGCTAGAGTGGCCTTGAGTTCCTCAGTGCCAGCACTGCTTTGCTTTTTCCTCCAGTGCTTGGGATGAATAACAGAGTCACTCTGAAAAGAGCAGAATCCCCTCCCACTCCTAAATGTGTAATGCACAATAATGTTATCAGTGTGATGTGGTTCCTTCTGATTATGATTTTCTGTGCCTTTCAGTGGGGATACATCCCTGGCAGATGCTAGTGCTGCCTTGGAGACCGAATCATCCAGTGGGAAGGATGCATTGGTAGGTGGATCAATGAAGCTCTGCTGGGATGTTGCAGGTGCTTTGTTTTTAGGCCCTATTCATGAGGAGGGTGGGAAGAAGAATTAGCAAACTCCACAATTCCGAGAGTTATCCCTGTTCTATGCCAGGATGCCAAGGTTCATTTCTGGGTTGGCTGGGGAAGTCCATTTGCTGTGGATTAAATGGCTGACGACAGTGTCACCCATGCTTATTGGATTAATGTTTTGAAAGGCTTTTCCTGTTTCTGCAAAATTCAGGTTACATAATTTCTCACATTAGAATAATTTGTGTTCCAAATTCATCCATCATACTTTTTCTTCATTATGATTGTGGTGTGCTAGGTTCCCTTTGTGACTCCGGTGAAGCAATTAGGTTGAGACACTGTGCGCTCTTCACATGTTACAGTGAATGCACATACGGCCAATGTCCTTTTGCTTTTCAAATGAAACTGGGGATCAATACCCAGAGAAATGTGAGGTTTCTGTCACTTGTTCAGTTGTACTTGAATGTATTGTGATAATTACTGAACACGCTTACAGCGAGCTATCAAGGGGATACTGTACACAGTTTGTACATGTGTTCACTGTAACTTATGAACAGGGCTGGGCTAGCATGCCCAGTCAGCTTCGTAGTGGAGTCTGAGTGTGACCCTTGGTCTCCATGATCCTGGCCCATCCCTCTGTCCAGTGCACCCCACAGGCTCTCCTGATGTGGCGTTGTACCTTGTGCCTTGTGGCTAATGTGGTTCTTGGTCTTTCTTGTTGTGCAGTTATGCTGATGTTGTTGCAGGAAGGTGTCGGGGACAATTCTGAAGTTTTGGATGCACAGACCGGCTCAGTCGATGAAGAGAATGGACGGCAGCTGGGAGAGATTGAGCTGCAGTGTGGGATTTGTATGAAATGGTTCACCGCAGAAACATTTGGCATTGACACAACGTACGTAGTGGCTGCATGTCTTTCTTCATTGTCATCCTCTTTGTTCCCCGATTGTTAGATAAGTCATTTCAAGAGACGCATTTTAAATGGTAATGGTCTGTATCCTTCCACCCCACTAAGCCAAGTTTGCCGCCTTCCTCCAAGGGAAGATCTACTTAGGTGGAGGAAGGGCCCTTATCTGAAGAGTGTATGAGACACCCAGAGACCCTCAAGTGGATGCCCTGAGCATGTTTGTTGGTAAATAATGACTGTGGCCCCTGCCCCCAATTTTTGATCTTGCATGTGGCAGAGGTTGGGAGGGATTTAGCCCTTCCTGTCCACTCGGTTTTCCTGATCTCAGCCTACTGCTTGCCCTTTGAAGGTGGGAAAGGTACAGGTGACATATGGATGACCAGTGTGCCCCTCCCCCTTCCCAGCAAAGCAGGTGGTAACTCCAGTAGACCATTTGAGGGAAACAGAACAGGTGGGAAGTTGTAGCTACCACCACTATCCCATGTTGTGGGTACGATCCAGAATAAGGAGCTGTGAAGCTACACTTTGCCAATTAAAAATGCTAAAGAAATCCTCCTGTGGGTTTCCCAGCCTCTATCTATTTTGGTCCATTGTCTCAATACATTTGTATGAATACTCCCAGAAGAGGGCAGTGTGAGCTCACAGTTTGGTTCTATCTGCTTGAAATCAGTGTTGCTTAACATTGAAGAAAAGGCATGCAAGGTTGTGGTCTTCATTTTCTCCCTCTAATTTTTCCTGCTTGCAGCTTTTGTACTGATGGGGTCCGTGTCTCTATGTAATGTTTTCAGAAACTTAAAGTTCTGTTGACAGATCAGAGTCGTGAATCAGTACCAAAAATAGTCAGTTAGAATCCTTAATTCTGCTTTGTTGAGTTTTCCAAGAAATATTATGTGGCGTACTTTTAAAAGTCCAGATATTTAAGTTTTCAGAGTCCTATCTCTGAGTACCTTGGAGGATGAAAAGG